CTTAAATATAGAGTTTTTAAAAAATAAAGATATAATATAAATAAAATAAATTTTATATCAATTTAAATAATTAAATGTTTCCCTCCAACAAAATTTAAAGGTTAAACACCTTTTTTGGTCCCTCTACTATAGGAAAAAGCTCATTTTTAGTCTTTATACTGAAAAAATCTCCTTTCTGGTCCTTAAAGTTCAAAATCCGACTCCTTTTTTATCCCTTCGTTAAATTTTAGTTGATGTGACAGGTTAATTAACGAAAAACCTATTTTTTTCTTTACTTAAATTGTGTGGAAAATCCATCTGGTAAAATTTGATGACATGACCAAATTTTTTACATAATTGCCATTACCAATATTTTAAAGGTTATTTTGTGGTTAAAGGTACTTATTTTAATTATTTATTTGCCCCCGTCTTCTTCCTCATTCTATCTTATTCTCTCCTTCCTCCAACCTTTATCTTTTTTTTTTCCTTTGCCAAATCAAATCTAGAAAGACAAAACCAAGAGTCTTCACGCTAGGTTCGTCGCAAATCCAAGTGCTAGGTTCATCACACCTTGCTCTAGCGATCCATTTATTATTAATATGAGTATTTAGAGTTTATAAAATAGAATTGTCCCCCTTGATTTAAAGTTTTGGTTGGGTTCTAATCACTCATCTCTACTTTCAATTGATTCAGCACTTCTCCTACTCTCTTCTCTGTGTGCTTACAGCAACCATATACATACCCAGATCTGTCAATTAAGAAGGGTATCATTAGACTCAGTACAGATGGATAACCAATTGACAAGAGAAGAAGGCACATTGATTGCCATGGCAACATCTAGATCCTTTTCGCACGGCTGAGGCATAGAGAAAGCAACACAAATTCACCACATCAGGTTGCCATTTCCATTCTATCAATGAAGTTTGATTTTTGTTGAGCAATAACAATAAGAAAGTAGGTGGAATAAAAAACCTAGCCAAATCGCTCTGAAACCATTTCAAACCCATCCCCAATTTCAAATGGACATGAAAGGCAAGGGAGTGAGGAAACGACTAGAGCAATGCTTGAGGAGGAAAAGAGTGGTGGGTGAATGCAATGTCGTAGGGTGTTCCTTCGATCTCTGAAATTCCTTGTAGAAGGCTAGATCTAGAGGCTCAATCTCCGCTTTGAACACCATGGAAGTCGCAAACCCTAAGAAACGCAAGCGGGACAGCTCCATCGCACTCGACGACGACAACGACCTTTCTCTTTTGGAACCCATTAAGAAATCTCAGAGCACCGTCGATGTGCTAGACATCTGCACCCTCAAAAAACTAGTCCTCTCCTTCAAGCATCAATTCAGAAAGAACATCAAGGCTTGCGTCAAGTACCAAAACCAGTTGGAGCACTTTGCAGACTCCGAGGTAGACCTCCATGACGACCTCCGAAAGCTCAAGATCCTCGCTGAAGCCCTCGAGCTATACCATGACCTTGTCAATCTAAACACCATCCCTTCTATACTCAATCTTTTGTTGCTTGGGTTCGCAATGAACCCCATGCCTAGAATCGCGACAAACCCAACGAACCCAGGCACATGGGTTCGCCTTTCCAAATTTGATTTTCATAAGGCAAAGGTTAAAAAAAAAAAAATGAAGGTTGGAGGAAGGAGAGAATAAGATAGAATGAGGAAGAAGACGGGGGCAAATAAGTAATTAAAATTAAGTACCTTTAAAATATTTGTAATGGCAATTATGTAAAAAATTTAACCATGTCATCAAATTTTGCCAGATGGATTTTCCACACAATTTAAGTAAAGAAAGAAAAAAGGTTTTCCGTTAAGTAACCTGTCACATCAGCCAAAATTTAACGGAAGGACCAAAAAAGGGTTGGATTTCGAACTTTAAAGACCAAAAAAGAGATTTTCTCGGTATAAATACTAAAAAGGGGTTTTTCCCTATAATAGAGGGACTAAAAAGGGTATTTAACCAAATTTAAATTTGTGAGAAAGAATAGAGCTTTTAAAGCAAGTGCTTTTTAAGCTCCACCAAATGGTCTCTTATGTCTTGTGCTTTTGAGAT